GCAGGTGCTGTAATACGGGTGCCATAATACAGGTGCTGTAAGCTGTAATGCAGGTGCTGTAATGCAGGTGCCATAATACAGGTGCTGTAAGCTGTAATGCAGGTGCTGTAATGCAGGTGCCATAATAGAGGTGCTGTAAGCTGTAATACAGGTGCTGTAATACGGGTGCCATAATACAGGTGCTGAAATCTGTAATGCAGGTGCCACAATATAGGTGCTGTAAGCTGTAATGCAGGTGCTGTAATACGGGTGCCATAATACAGGTGCTGTAAGCTGTAATGCAGGTGCTGTAATGCAGGTGCCATAATACAGGTGCTGTAAGCTGTAATATGGGTGCCATAATACAGGTGCTGTAAGCTGTAATGCAGGTGCTGTAATATGGGTGCCATAATACAGGTGCTGTAAGCTGTAATGCAGGTGCTGTAATACGGGTGCCATAATACAGGTGCTGTAAGCTGTAATGCAGGTGCTGTAATGCAGGTGCCATAATAGAGGTGCTGTAAGCTGTAATACAGGTGCTGTAATACGGGTGCCATAATACAGGTGCTGTAAGCTGTAATGCAGGTGCTTTAATACGGGTGCCATAATACAGGTGCTGTAAGCTGTAATTTAGGTGCTGTAATACTATACTGTATAGCAGATACCAGCTGACGAAAGGAAACAGGTCATACAGAGGTGTGTGCTTACTTAGGGCCAGTGTGCCCTGAGGCTGCCTGACAGTGGGACTGGAGATCCCATGCCCTACTGTACTGTAATAAGTAGGGATGCACCAATACCGTTTTTTCGGTATCGAGTATGAGTACCGATATTTTTATTTCAGTACTCACTGATACTGAGTACCGATACCGGTACTTCCGCTAGAATGGAGCCGGCTTCCCGGGCAATCAGGCTTCTTGATTGCCCAGGAAGCCGGCTCCATTCTGTTTGGCCAGCTTGATGCTGATTGGGTGGGAATCTGGCTTCACGGCCAATCCATCAGAATACAGAATGACGCAATGCATGCGCTATCGTTGATTACTTGCGTTCACCTGACCAGATAAAATAAAAATATGGTTGATCTACCTTAAATGCAGACACTTTATTAAAACTCATCGTATAATTGATCTGCATTACGATTGGTTCCCTGGTTCGCACACGTTTGTTCAAGTGTTCATTTGTTCATTGATTTGCAGGTTTGTCCGAATCCGAATGCACATGTCTAATTTTAGGGACCTCAGAATGCTCGACATTGTGAAAGCTCAGTAATGTCATAGTGGACAGATCCCTCGTCTCTGTGTTTTCCCGGCCATCCCCTGTGATCCTGATCCCCTATTAGCAGTCATGCAGCTCCCAGATCCACTGACACTGTGGTGTAACTTACATGAGTCTCAGGACAGGGAGGGGGGCTGAGACTGTCAGCTGAGTGGCGGACAGCATGGACCAATCAGCATCTTGCTCCTGGGAAGCTGTTGGCCAATTGCAGGAGATTCCAGGTTGGAAGTAACAAGCGGCTTCCTGAGCTCTGCAGAGTTTAGGAGGTGCGAGGAGGAAATAGAGGCTACCTCATGGGGGAGTCATGTGACAGCCGCTCACGTGACCAGCGATTGGCATTGGACACCTGGGGAGCGAAGTGACTGGCGCTCTCCTCATACTAACATTTCCTTGGGGTGGAAGGATGCGTGAGCGCAGCTGTTGTAACCAGCAAGCCAGGAATAGGAACAGCATGCCCGGCTGTTTGGCCGGCTCAATGCTGATTGGCCAGAAAGCCAGCTTCCCAGCCAATCAGCATGGAGCCGGCTTCCTGGCCAATCAGGAAGCCAGGCAGCGAGTCATTACCTGCTGCCTGGCTCCGATTGGTCGGGAAGCCGGCACCATGTTCCTTCGTGGCACTGCCAGTCAGAGGAAATCTCCCTCTGACCGGAGGTCCCGGTATCAGGGAAGGTATCGGAGCATTTGGGCGAATACGAGTACTCGCCCAAATACTCGCTATCGGCGTATCCCTAGTAATGAGCATGCAGTGGGAGTGAACACTAGGAGGGCACAGGCAGAGACAGCTGTCAATCAGGTAGCGGGATGGATCCCGTCATTATTGTCAGGATCTTTCCTGGCTGCAGCGCGACTCTCTGCTCTCAGGATATAGCATGCAATAGCCTACTATATGCTGAGTTTTGGGTCACAGGAGGACATTAGTAAATGTCCTCCTGTGACCCAAAACAGAACTAATACAAAAAAAGATTGGGCCATAGTTCTCCTTTAACAATCTTTATGTACAAACATATCCAGATGTTTGCATGTCGTTGGTATTGCTTCAGTGCAAAAACATATACGCTTGGATGATAAGTGAATGTTTGTTTTCCTTAATACAGTAAACTCTCGTTTATCCGGTATTCAACCAACCGGAAATCTCATCTAACCATCAAATAAAACTGTGTACTCACTGTTCTGACAATCCTCTGTGACCTTTTATAATGAGAGCAGGCTCTGCAGTATCACAGGGTAGAGAGGGGTCTGAGGAATGTTATTGCCGCTGTATTATCTTGGGAATGAGCTGCTGTGAGCGATCGTCTGTGAACAAGCGCTGTGCGCTCACTAGTGGTCCCTCCCAGTACTGCATGCTCATTACAGTACAGTAGTGTATGGGATCTTCAGTCCCACTGTCAGGCAGCCTCAGGGCACACTGGTCCTATGTAAGCACACACCTCTGTATGACCTATTTCCCCGCTACCTGAGTGACAGATGGCTCTAGAGCCAGCTGTGCCCACCCCTCCCTTGTCTGTCCCTCCATTGAGCGCTGGAAGAATGGAGAGGGGAGAAGGAATCCCTGTGGGGAGTGGTGACTGATAGTCACAGCTCTCTGCAGGGAGAGGATCATGAACTGAGCGAACAGCAGCTTGTGAGAACCCCTGTCTGTTTTTTTCTCTGCTATCCAGGGCTCAGTTAGAGAGAGATCTTTCCTCACTTTTTCAGTGAAAATGGTTTTACCAGACAGGAAATCAGGGAAAATCTGCAACAGGGATACAGACAGAAAGACAGAGACATAAAAAAATGAACGACAGGGGCTCTAGCCTTCCCCTAATGTGCATTTTATTTTTGTAAATTTCTGTCTGTCTTGTTGTTGGAGAGTCTCCTTGGTAAAACTTTGTCAGCATGACAGGAAGTGAGGGAATATCTCTCCAACAGAGGGCCAGATAAAACCAGGCAGGGATTCTCACCCCTTCCTGCACAATACAAAACCAAGCTAAAATGTTTTGGCTGGACATACACTTTAAACAATCCCCTTTGGGGACATTTAGCTTTCAGGAAACAGTCATTTAATAGCTATAGATTTAGAATAAAGTGACCTGAATCAAAGCACAGGATGCCACACCCCTGAAATTGGTATGTCAAAATTAGAAAAGTTTGGGTTTTTGGGCAGCCGACTGACAACTTTACAAACCAAACATCTTTTGAGAAAATATTAGTTTTTATGTGATTAAAAGGTGAATAGAATAGATAAAATTTGACAACATGATTCTCCTATAAGCTTCCTCCATACTGATTAAGTTCATTCAAAAAGGATAACATTCAAAGATTTGTACAATGAAACATGATTGGAAAACATGATAATTCATGGACACAATACATGATTAGTATAGAAAAGGTGATGGAGGAGCTTGATTTTCTCGACGTTTCGCGCTGAATAACGCTTCTACAGGAGATGGAGAGGGAAGTTGTCCTTGGAGTCTGTGTGCGTCCCGGTTATTCCACCCGTTCCTCTCTTGAAATCGAGCCCCCAGCAGCTAATACAGCCCTCTCAGGCCTGAGAGGGCTGTATTAGCTGCTGGGGGCTCGATTTCAAGAGAGGAACGGCTATCTTACGGCGCTGACTGATAGCCTTGTGTCTCTACTTCCAATTTGTTGCAAACTGTGGTACCTCCGCCATCTCTTGATTGTGTCTGCCTCCACTGGGGTATTAGGGCCTCCATTTCTTCTCCTTCTTTCTTGTTCCTCCTCCCCCTGCCTTATGCTTTTACTTTTTCACCGTCTGAGCCGGGTGGAATAACCGGGACGCACACAGACTCCAAGGACAACTTCCCTCTCCATCTCCTGAAGAAGCGCTATTCAGCACGAAACGTCGAGAAAATCAAGCTCCTCCATCACCTTTTCTATACTAATCATGTATTGTGTCCATGAATTATCATGTTTTCCAATCATGTTTCATTGTACAAATCTTTGAATGTTATCCTTTTTGAATGAACTTAATCAGTGTGGAGGAAGCTTATAGGAGAATCATGTTGTCAAATTTTATCTATTCTAGTCACCTTTTAATCAAATAAAAACTAATATTTTCTCAAAAGATGTTTGGTTTGTAAAGTTGTCAGTCGGCTGCCCAAAAACCCCAACTTTTCTAATTTTGACATTTAATAGCTATCGTTACTTATAAAGTTTAGACAAAGTGGTCAACAAGAGGAGAACTATCCAAATAAACCATCTGCTAATCAGGTTGGCCCTGTTTCCAACTCTGTCATAGGATCTGGCTGGCACTCTGTAACATGATCGCTGACAATCATTTTCCTACAATCTGTATGGGATATGCTAGTCGTCTTTATCAGTTACACAATGTAGTGAAGGACCAAGTGCCAGTCACTGCTGCAAATTCTGCAACGTTCACAAATAGCGTTTGGAAAAGGCACATTGCTAAATAATAAAACATTTCTATTAAAGAAGCTTGATTTATTTTTTTGGGAAAACAGAAGCTATGCCTTCTTCTCTTTTCTAGGCGATATAGAAATATAATTTATTATAATAAATTACACAGATGTTCACTTTAATAGTTTTACAAGGCAAAAGGATGAGACATCTCTTAAGAAACACGCCATAGGGTTACCAAACAAATATGCTAACTGTAGACTTCCAAGGTAAACCTATACCATATGTCTCAAGGTTTAACATAACGAATAAAAAAAATCAGAGTCAAAAATAACTTTAATGAGATAGAAATGCCAGACGGACACTGAGGAAGAGTCAAGAACCATGCTGATTTACTCCTCTTTCTCTTCACCATGAGTGATGATGTGAACAAGATTCTTGTAGTTTAAATTTCCTGTGACATCAGGGGGGAAAGCTGTGAACATCTGGTCGACCTACAACAAAGAAACACAAGGTCTACTGTAAAATCAAAAGTAGTTCTTGATTCTAGTATATAAAAAAACAAACCTGTTTCTAATGTGATATTATTTAACCCCATTTATGACCAGTTCCACCCTTTATACAGCATGTGAGTTATATAGCATTAGAGTAACAACATACTGTGATGAAATAAAGCTGAATTCATAGCTGACTTAGTCCACAAAAAAATCTTTAAAATACAGAATACAAAACAACTTCCAGATAAAGTTAGTGGTTAGGGTTAATACGAAAGCTGGTTTTCTTTCATTTAAGGGACTGAGAATTCTACCTCTTCACTTGTGAACCTCTCAGCTTGGGTCATAAGCATTTCTCGAATACTAAAAATAAAACATAAAAAGACAGAAAATTGTAAAAGGCAGCCAGGAACAGAAATCCAGTATCACATGGCTTTAGTCTTTGGAGTACTAAACTTACTAATCTGATTTTAGGAGTCCGCTGCCTTCAGGATCAAACACTTTGAATGCATTCAGAATGGTTTCCTCTGGGTCAGCACCTGCAAGACAAAAGAGACATTAGACATATTATTTTGTCTTTATTTAAGGAATTTGCTAAACTTAATCTGCAGATCCTTAAAAAACCCTGAAAACGGAGACAATTGCAGTAGGCTAGGTGTCCTGATTTTATAAGGAGCTATTCCAATCAGTGGGTTTTATGAAACAGAAGATCTTCTGGCTTTGATAATATTATCCGCATAGAAGTTCAAATAATTTAGATATTTCAACAACTGGAAATTGGGATCTATATGTTGCCAGAGTGTAGAAAAGCATTGTGTCCATGGGCAAGACTTTATGTCTTTGCTATGGATTGCCAGGACAATGACAAGGTGATGAGTCTAATTTAAACTCCCTGTCCCCACAAAAATCAGATGACTGGAGTTCTCCTTTTACTCTGACTTTAGTTCAATATAAACTTCTCAGCAGGATTAACACAAAACATTAATGTGGGCTCTGGAGTGTTTCATTAAGCTTAGCAGCACAGGAGCCTACTGTAACATATGGCCACAAGCCCTTTACAAGAATCTCTTCATTCTTTAAAATAGACTATGGCATTCTTAGGTTACATCGAGCGACAAAAAGTTTTAAGATAGTCATACTAAATATGGTGGAATCAAAAGGCTATACAAATAGCTTTAGTCTTATCTGCCATTAAGAAAGGTGATCTATGAAGAATTACTAAGATAGAAATGATTAAATAGGTAATTCATATACACAAGGGAAATGTATACAAGTTTTGACCACTAGTGTGAAGTGACTGGGGACCTACTGTTGTGATGATCACAACATCATCAAAACAGTAGATATTTCAAATGATGATGTCATTGTGTTCAATAAATGCCAAATACATATGATGTCCAGTCAACTATTCCCACAGTTCTCACTTTGTTGCCTTGTTTTATATTACATGGCAGCTAATTTACCTGTAATACAAGGGTCTGCAAAACAGTTATTGATATGTCAGAGTTCTCAATTCCTTTACATGTATAGGTACATTGCATACATACTAGGGATGTTCAGATACTAGTTCAGATACCAGTGCTGATACTAGGCATTTTAACGAGAACTACCAGGGTTGCAGCGGTTGCAGCTGGGACCTGGCTCTAGAGCTCCACCACTATCCTGAAATCATTAGTCTGAATTGCTTCAGAAAAACTGTCACATGACACTAAACAAAAATTTATCAGTACTTGTGTCTGTGAAGTTTCTCATTTATCCAGGTCATGGTATATCTGTAAAAAATAAATCAAGTCAACTGGACTTGCTGTATTTTTCTTGAAGACGTTTCACTTGTCATCCAACCAGCTTTCTCAATTCAGAATGACAACTCATTCTGAATTGAGAAAGCTGGTTGGATGAGCCGTGAAACATCTTCAAGAAAAATACAGCAAGTCCAGTTGCCTTGATTTATTTTTTACAGATATATCAGTACTTGTATCTGTGAGTACTTGGACAAGTATGAGTACTTGTACTTGAAAAAATGGTATCGGTGCATTCCTAACATATATATTTATTTTTTTAAAAGCATACATTAAAACAATGATTCACGAATCTCAGGAGCTCCGTATACTCCTTAAAAACGAAAGCTACCTCCTCTTTGGAGTTTTTCTCCAGCCTAGTCTTGGAGCTGGAAAAGTATCTGTACATGTACTTGTATTTGAGCCGAGTACAGTACTTGGTATCTGAACATCCCTAATACATACACTATAGGGTCAAAAGCTCAAGGACAGCTGACCATCACACCTACCTATGTAGCTAAACGTATGTGAACACTCCTGCAAAGTTGACTTTAGGTCTTTCCAGTGTTAATGCTACAGCATGCAATTACATTTTAGACAATTGTGACCTTCCAACTTTGTGCGAACAGTTTGGGGAAGGCCTTTTTTTTCCTGAACGGGACCAAATTCCCACATACAATCTGCAAAATTATGTGGAAAGCTTTTCCAGAACACTGGAGGCTGTTATAGTCACAAAGGGGGGGGGGGGGGGGGCACTCCATATTAATGCCTATGATATTGGAATGTAATGTCCAGGCCAGCGTTGACAAATAAATGTTTGATCAACCACATTATATTTTTTTGAGGTGCCTTTTGTCAGCATACAAGAGCTTTTGACCTTGGGTCTCTACTCATACAAGCATAGCTAGGTGGCCTGTTATATGGATGGTCATCTCCATGGTCTTGTATCTACCTTTAAGCTTCTCTCCAAACATTGTTAAGAACACAGTGAAGTTAATTGGTCCTGGGGCTTCTTGTAACATCTCTTCCAGTTCTTCAGTCTTCACATTTAGACGACCTTGTCGAATATCACAAAATGTGCGTTAACATTTCTTCAAAAATAACTATATTCATTTGCTATCTTCTGATTAGTGCCTCACTAAAAAAGCCATCTAGGTATCCTTGAAATTGATACATTTCCAATACCTAATAACATTGAGTAACTGTAATTAGATGCTTCTGGTATCAAAGAGTAATACACATCAATTGAAATATTCTATGTTTAGCTCTGCCTAATTCAGATGCCAGCTGTGTACACTATAGTGGTAATAATAAATGCTGAATCCTGTATGATTATGTGGATAATGTTACAGCTTCTTGTATGGACATGTGCATAAGTTATATCTTTTATTTTTGCTCCCTAAAGGTATACACTTTGAAGTAGCAGTATGTACTGTGTTTTTAAAACAATAACATTTCACTAATGTATGTTTTGAGAACGTAGCATGTGATAACAGGGGATTATCTGTTACTTTAAAGTAGGCAGATGTAAAAGACCACTATTGAGTCCAGTTATGTAGTCATTAAAAATACCTAAATGTATTTTTAAATACTACCTAAAAATGTCTTTGTACTAGCCTCCCGTAATCTCCTGCACATAAGAATTTAGACTAGGAGAAGGAGCGTAAAAACTTTAAATCATTTAGGATTTACTGAATTACACAGTGCTGCGAATCAAACAAATAGAGCGTTCTAAACGGGGGAGAGGAATATTATTGTTATTTGACTGTAGTGGAGAAAATTTAACAGTAAGGACCTTGTATAGTTTTTTAAAGGATAATCTGAAATAAAATAAAAAAATTGAGAACAGATTTTTTTGCCAGGTAAGACAATTCGCAAATTTGTATTTTAACTGTGTATTTTGTTGATTGCCTAATATTTCTATTGCCGCTTTTCTTTTTGTTAGCGATTTGCAGATTTTCTTTCAGCAGTCCTTGTCAGTCTTACTTTGAAGTAATGAACTGTGTCAGCTTTCGTTAGATATGCCTGCAGTCCTGTGGATACCCTGGTTTCATACCATCTACAATGGAACCTTTTTGCATTTTAAGACATTACGATTATGGTAAGAAAACCAAAATGATGGCATTATTGCTACTTTGAATAGACAAAGAGGCTTAGCCAGCCGGACAATAATGTAGTCTGACTATGCAACCCAAACACAGTATACATATTACTAGATTACAAATAAACAGATGATTGATTGAACAAAGCAGCTACATTAAGCACTGGGTTTTCGGCACCACTGTGTTTAGTGTGGGGCTGATAGTGTTAAGTGCCAGCATTATAAGTCCAGAATTTTAAAGGGCTAAAATATTATATTATTATATTAAGGTTTATAGTTAGGGGTTTGGTTAAAGTTAGGATGTGATTAAAAGGGTGATTTATAAACTGTGCACATAGCAAACAGCTATGTGAACGAGATTCACAACACATTATGGCCACTAGATGGAGCCAAGGAACATAGGAAATTCCAATGCTCTTCTGCTCCATCTAGTGGCCATAATGTGCAGTGAATCTAGTTCACATAGCTGTTTAGGGCTCATACCCTTAGGGGTCTATTCACGAAGCTGCCGAGGGCAGCCGAGTGAATGACCGATCCGAAGTGAAGTGAGCCGAACACTGTTCGGCTATTCACTTCAGGCTGGTACTGCTAATTTCAGCCGTACATCGGCTGAAATCAGCCGTACATCGGCTTGCTTCGTGTGGCTTCGGGTCGGCCGAACATGCTCAGCATGTTCGGCCGACCCGAAGTGCAGAAGGAGTTCGACTCAGCC